TGATTTTGTTCCCTTTGGATATATACATCCAAAAGGGGAATTGCTGGATCATATAGTAGATAATATGGTAGTTCTACTTATAATTTTTTGAGAAACCTCCATACTGTTTTTCATAGTGATTGAACCAATTTACAACAGTGCTCACGGGTCCCCTTTTCTCTACATCCTTACCAACACTTATCTCTTACCTTTTCCATAATAGCCAGTCTAACAGGTGCAACGTGATAGCTCATTGTGGTTTTGATTTGCATTTCCCTAATGATTAGAAATGCTGAGCACCTTCTCGTGTACCTGTTGGACCTTTGTATGTCTTCTTCGGAAAAATGTCTCTTTAGCCCTGGCCGAGTGGCTCAGTTGGCTGGAGCATCATCCTGTGCACAAAAAGGGTCAGGGCACATACTTAGGTTGTGGATTTGATCTCCCACATTAATGTTCATCTCTTCCTCTCTCTCTAAAATCCATAAACATATACTTGGGTAAGGATTTTTAAAAGAAAGAGCCCGGCTGGTGTGGCTCAGTGGTTGAGCATCGACCCATGCATCAAGAGGTAGCAGGTTTGATTCCGGGTCAGGGCACATGCCCAGGTTGTGGGCCCGATCCCTGATGTGGGGTGTGCAGGAGGTGGCCAATCGATGTTCTCTCTCATCAATGTTTTCATCTCTCTCTTCCTCTCCATTCCTCTCTCTCTAAAATCAATAAAGAAAAAAATGTTAAAAGAGAAAGAAGAATGTCTAGTTTTTCTTTTCATTTTTAATCTAATTGCTCTATCTCTCTCTTTTTTTTTATTGACTTGTATGAGTTCCTTATATATTTTGGATATTAACCCCTTATCATATAATTTGCAAGTATATTCTCTCATTCCATAGGTTGCATTTTGTTGGTTTCCTTTGCTGTGCATTAGATTTTTAGTTTGATGCTATCTCACTTGTTTATATTTGCTTTGTTGCCTTTGAGAATTAGCTAGTATTGTAGTTTAAAAAAAGAACTATTATCCTAGCATGCAACTTTCTTTGGTGAGTTCATGCATAACCTAAGTTGTAAATAGTTCTTCCACGTCGCAAATTAAATTCTAATTACTATAATCGTAAAAAAAAAAAAAAAACACAAAATTTTCCGTATTTACCATTTTTAAGTGCAGTTCAATAGTGTTAAATATATTCACATTGTTGTGAAACAGATCTCCAGAATTTTTTCATCTTGCAAAACTGAAACACTACACCTATTCAGCAACAACTCTGATTCCCCTTTCCCTCGGCCCCTGGAAACCACCACTACACTTTCTATTCCTATGAATTTGCCTACTTTACAGAAAAATCATACAGTATTTATCTCTTTGTGTCTTGTTTATTTCACTTGGCATAATGTCCCTCAAGGTTCATCCATGTTGCAGCATGTGACAGGATTTCCTTCCTTATTATGTCTTTAAATTTTATTAAATATTAAATACATATAAAAGAAGATAGCAAGAAAACAAACATCTGTGTACCCGCCTTAATGACTAGAATGTCATTAATATCATGGAAAACCTGGTGTTCCTTCTTCCCTGCCAGATGTTAACACTATTGTGAATTTTGTGTTTATTATTACCTTGACTTTTACTTTTCTCCACATGTATGTATATCTAAACGATGTCTTATTTAATTGTGTATGCTTTTAATGTTGTAGTTGTAATCATTACATGCATTTGTGTGCAACTGCTTTTTTATTGAGATGAAATTCACATAAGATACAATGAAATATGTAAGTGTACAATTCAGTGGCATTCAGTGTACTCACATGTTGTGTAGCCACCAGATCTCTCTAAACTCAAGACTCTTTTTTTTTTTCTGACCCGAGGACATTTTTCCATTTTTGTTCAGAAAGAGTGGGAGGGAGGGAGAGAGAGAGAGAAACATCGATGTGAAAGGGACACATCGAGTGGCTGCCACCCGCCCAACCAACCAGGGCCAGGGACAAACTGCAACCGAGGTACATGCCCTCAGCGGGAACCAAACCCGGGTCTCTCTGGACCGCAGGCTGATGCTCTAACCGCTGAGCCAAACCGGCCAGGGCTACACTCAAGACTTTTTAAAAACACCCTGTACCCATCAAATAATCACTCACCATTTTCTCCTGCCCCAACCCCTGGTAACCAATCTGCTATGTCTATGCATTTGCCTCTTCTGGATAGATCATAAAAAAGGAATCGTATAACCTGTGATCTTTTGTGTCTGGCTTCTTTCACTACATATAATGTTTTTAAAGTTCTTCCAAGTTGTAGCATGTATTAATACTCTGCTCCTTTTATTTATTTGTTCAGATAGAGTGGGGTGGGGGGGGAGAGAAACATCGATGTGAAAGGGACACATTGAGTGCCTGCCATCCGCACGACCCAACCAGGACCGGGGACAAACTGCAACCGAGGTACATGCCCTTAGTGGTAACTGAACCCGGGTCTCTCTGGACCACAGGCCAATGCTCTAACCACTGAGAAACCAGCCAGGGCAATACTCTGCTCCTTTTAATGGCTAAATAATATCTGTTGTACAGATGAATCACAACTTGTTTATCTATTCATCCATTGATAAACATTTGGGTTGTTTCCACCTTTTGGCTATTGTGAATAATGATGCTATAAACATTTGTGTACAAGTGTCTGTGTAAACATATGTTTTCATTTCTCTTGGGTATCTATCTAAGAGTGGAATTGCTGGCTCATATGGTAATTCTATGTTTAAATTTCTGTGAACTGCCAAACTGTCTTCCACACCAATAAGGCAATGAGCTACTGCCCGTGGAACTCACTGACCTTATCACATACTCACCCAGCTCATGGAACTGCAGGAGAGCTGTAAAGGCCTATGAAGACTTCATTTGGCTCCAGTTCTAGCAAAGTAATGAATTAAAAGGTAACCTGAAGCCCAGCCCATGTGGCTCAGTGGTTTGAGCAATGTCCCATGGACTGAGAGGTCCCGGTTCAATTCCCAGGTGGCACACACCCAGGTTGTAGGCTCGATCCCCAGTAGGGGGTATGCAGGAGGCAGCCGATTGATGTGTCTCTCTCACATCAATGTTTTTCTGTGTGTGTGTGTCTCTCTCTCTAAAAAATCAATAAAAACATATTTAAAAAAAAAAAAGATAACCCGCCCTGGCCAGTTTGACTCAGCAGTTAGAGCGTTGGCCCATGGACCAGAGAGGCTCGGGTTTGGTTCCCACTAAGGGCACATACCTCGGTTGTGGTTTGTCCCCAGCCCCGGTTGGGATCATGTGGGTGGCGACCAGCCAATGTGTCTCTCTCACATCGATGTTTCTCTCTCTCTTTTCCTCTCTCTCCCTCCCGCTCTGTCTGGGGATGAATGCAAAAATGTCCTGGGGTGAGGATAAAAAACAAAACAAAAAAAAAACCCTGAAAACTCTCCTACTACAAAAATCCAGAACTGCTGGTTACAACTTATATTATTTTAATTGCATTTATTTTTTAATCCATAATATCAGTCTGTGGTACACAATCCAAAAGGTACAAAAAAGTATATGAAAAGAAAGAATCCATTCCTCCCTAGCTCTCTACCTACCCAGTCTCCTCCCCAGAGGCAACTACTTACTATTCCTACTGTCTTGTGTATCCTTCCTGAGCTAATTGAAAAATGTATAAGCATATAAATATATATTGTTTTTAATAAAAAGTATTTTATTTATTTATTTATTTTGGTTATCCTCACCCGAGGACATTTTTCCATTTTTTGTTCAGATAGAGTGGGAGGGAGAGAGAGAAGAGAGAGAGAGAGAGAGAGAGAGAGAGAGAGAAACATCGACGTGAAAGGGACACATCAAGTGGCCGCCACCCGCACAACCCTACCAGGGCCGGGGACAAACTGCAACCGAGGTATGTGCCCTTAGCAAGAACCGAACCCAGGTCTCTCTGGACCACAGGCCAATGCTCTAACCGCTGAGCAAAACTGGCCAGGGCTAATAAAAAGTATTTTAAATGCTGAGTGGGAGAAAGAAAAACAGGACGTCCTCATATGGCAGAAATGAAAAGAGAAACGAAAAGCAGCATGGGGAGTGCTTGAACTGCCCGAGTGGCTGCCTGGGAATTGAGGAGTTCAATGCCCACGTGGGCAGAGGACCCTGGGCACAGGGGAGGCAGAGAATTGGAACAGAGGCTCCTACAAAACTAGGAATCTCACAGAACTGAACCTTCCGTGAAAAGCTGAGCTAGAAAAAAATTCACCCTCCGGCATAGGATGAAACAAGGAGGCTCATCTCTTGCATCCCATGGGCAAAGAGCCTCCCCAAGAACTTAGTCTGGGCTTGCACTTTGTATGAGGTTGGTCTAAATGGACACCATCTGCAGGATTCGGGGGCTCAGGCAGAGAAAGTCACATAAACATTGCCTCTGATCTGGAAATGGAGTCTGGCCCTTCCTCCCCTGACACTGTCCTCGCAGGTAAGAGAATTAGACCAGGATTTTATTCAGTACCCGAGTGATGTCCACACAATTTCCTCTTGCCCTTTACTCCTCAATGTACTGTCATAGTCCTACTGTTGCTGCTACAATTCCAAGCTTCCCCACTTTCAGGACCAAAGGACTAGGACTTGTGTGGACTCGGCAGGTAACACAGGTGGCCGGTGAGCTTGCCCACCACAGGCTCTTGCTGACTTCCATTCCGTGCTACGCATGTTCTGATAAACATCCCCCCATTTTCCTTGCTTCTCTGATCCAAATCCGAAGCAGGCATCCTGGTGGATGAGAGAGGAATGTATGTGTTAACAGATTGAATCCTACCCTTGTCCCGCCTCCCCTTACTCAACATCGAGTGTGACAGGCTGCCTCCTGGAGCTGAGAGGAGAACAGAGCTCACCTTCTCCAGGGAAGACAAACTCTGAACACACAGAGTGACCCCAGAGCCCAGAAAAGAGGGCATCAACTAGCTGCTCCTCCTCATGCTTCCTACAGCAGCCCACAGCCATATCTTACTCCCTCCCGTGCCCTTACCTGGTCTTTACTATCTTCCACTCCACTAGGGAACTAGATCATCGTCCAAAATCTAAGAAAGAAAGAATTAGAAGGTGGGGGAGCCTCAGATGCCCCTGAGACCTGGGAATATCCTGCAGCTGCTCTCAATAGATTACCCTGCAATGACCTCCCCTCACCTCCATGCTAAGAATGTCTGAGTCCCCAGACCATCACCTCCTGACTCAGAGCATCTGAAGTCCATGCCAGACCAGAAAGCTTCAGGAGAAGCAGCAGCAGCTGTCTCCAGGAACCCTGGGCCCCGACATTCCTACGGCAGGTAAAGTGTCCCATACTTTGGTTCCCTACCATCTTGAAGCCCTGAACAGGAGTCTGCTTCATCCTAGGAAGGGAAACAGAAACTGGCAGAACTCTGGGAACAGGCCTGGCCTTCCTGCTCTCTGCCCTCTCCTCAGCACCCACCTGAAGACTGTGGTGTGTTGGGTGACGTTGCTAACGAGGCCAGAAGCCCGCAGGATCTTCGAGTTCCCCACCAGCACACAAGTCCCGCAGTACAGATTATGACTCACTGAGGATCTGGGAATCACCCTGAACAGCTGCTCCCACGCTTTGCCCAGCTCGCTCGCCGAGTTCATGCCCTGGAAACACCCACGGAGGAGACTGAGGGCTAGGACTCGGTATCATCAGCTCCCAGTAGAAGGAAGGCAGACCCTGGTTGGTGAGACCTCCATCCAGAGGCAGGGGCTGAGGCTCTGAAGATGGGAGGTGCACTAAGCCAGAGCCAAGGGTAGGGGTTTGGGACAGAAAGTGAGACATGGGCTAGGCCTGGGAAGGACAGGGGAGGAGTTGGTCAGTGTTGATCAACCACCAGAGCACAGCATTGAGGGTCATGGACTCTGTTGTCCCCACAGGTACCCTATTGTCTTCTCATACATGCATCAAACCAGTTCTGTTTTCTGACCCTGTGGTGGCAGAGGGAGTAGTTGAGGGTCCCAGATGGGCAGCCACACTTCCTGAACTTGAACCAAAGGCAGTTGCCACGCCATGGTACCAAGTACGTCAGTTTTTCCTGGGGTGTCGATTCAGCTTTCCAATCCAGGCAGGGGACCATCAGGCACAAGATGAGCACCCAAAAGACCCATAGGACAAAAATCTGCAACACACATTTCATGTCTGGCCTAGGCGACGGTCTCCATGGCAGGCAGCAGACTGGCTTCTTACCTGGGTCAGAGAAAAAGAGGATTGAGGCTACACACAGCCCCACGAGCCTCTGTCCCATTGGCCTCTGTGGCTCCTCAACCCTCCACACCACACCTCCTCCCAACCCCTCATCTTCTGCCTCCTTATCCGTTTGCTCACCTCCAAATAGGACTCTAACTGGGCCTGGGATGGGAGGTGCGAGAGCAGCAAGCTAATACGTGGTGTGTCCTGTATCCTTCCCGCAGGAGGAAAGCTTGGCTCTCAGTGGAGTACATCTGCCACCCAGTTATATCACAGGTCTCATCATAAAGTACACTTTGTGACCTCCCTCCTTTCGCCTGCCTGGGCAAAGCCACCAACCTATCCCGTCTGTAGTACACAAGCTGCCTACACTGAATGTAAAAGCCAGGAAGACAGGGACTGACTTTGTCGTCTTTAGCTCTGCATCCTTCAGACTTAGAACCATTTAATAAACATTTATGAGATACATGAACAGAGTAGAGAGGGAACTTAAATCCTATTTATGTCTGATGCCCCCTTTCCAATTGTGGAACCGACTCAGACCTCTCCTTTCTTCTCTAGACCCTATATCTGACAGCCCACTGGACTTCCACTAACATGTCTCAGAGACCTCTCACACTGAACAAGCCTGAGACTGAACTTAGATTTTTCCCTTTAACCCAATTCCTTCCCAAGACTTCTGCCTCTAAAGGACCCCACCATTCACTCAGTTGCTGAAGGCAAAAGCCCTCTCCTATGATTTCCAAATTCATTTTTATTTATTTATTTTTAATTTTTTTTCCTTTATTGATTTTAGAGAGAGAGGAAGTGACAGGGAGAGATAGAAACATCGATGAGAAAGAATATTGATTAGCCGCCTCCTGCATGCCCCCCACTGGGGATGTGGCCCACAACCAGGGCATGTGTCCTGACCGGGAATCGAACTGGTGACTTATTGGTGCATGGGTCGATGCTCAACCACTGAGCCACATCGGCCAGACCCAAATTCATTTTTTTTTTTATCCTCACCCAAGGACATTTTTTGATATTTTGTTCAGATAGAGTGGGAGGAAGAGAGAGAGAGAGAGAAACATCGACGTGAAAGGGACACATCGAATGGTTGCCACCCACACGACCCAACCAGGGCCAGGGACAAACTGCAACCAAGGTACGTGCCCTTAGCAGGAACCGAACCCGGGTGTCTCCAGACCGCAGGCCAACGCTCCAACCGCTGAGCCAAACTGGCCAGGGCTCATTTTTTTTTTTTAATCCTCACCAGAGGACATTTTTGCATTTATCTTCATACAGAGCAGGAGGGAGAGAGGGAGGAAGAGAGAGAGAGAAACATCGACGTGAGAGAGACACATCGAGTGGTTCCCACTCACACGACCCCAACCAGGGCTGGGGACAAACTGCAACCAAGGTATGTGCCCTTAGCGGAAACTGAACCCGGGTCTCTCTGGACCGCGGGCCGATGTTCTTTTTTTTTTTATCCTCACCTGAGGACATTTTTTGATATTTTGTTCAGATAGAGTGGGAGGGGGGAGAGAGAGAGAGAAACATCAACGTGAAAGGGACACATTGAGTGGTTGCCAAATGTGGTTACCACCCACACGACCCAACCAGGGCCGGGGACAAACTGCAACGGAGGTACATGCCCTTAGTGGGAACCAAACCTGAGTCTCTCCGGACTGCAGACCAACGCTCTAACCGCTGAGCCAAACCGTCCAGGGCCCAATATAATTTTTAATCCATTTGCTTCTATCTCCAAACTGCCTTCTTCTCGTCATCTCCACTCTCATCCCCTTAATTCAATCTTAGCCTGGGCATTTTATAGCTTTTATTATTATTTTTCCTTTATTGATTTTAGAGAGAGAGGAAGTGAGAGGGAGAGAGAGATAGAAACATCGATGAGAGAAAACATTGGCTGCCTCCTGCATGCCCCCCACTGGGGATTGGGCCCACAATCGGACATGTGCCCTGACCAGGAATCGAACCGGAGACCTCTTGATGCATGGGTCGACGCTCAATTCCAGGTTAGGGCACATAACTAGGTTGTGGATTTGATACCCAGTTGGGGCACGTACTGGAGGCAACCGATTGATGTTTCTCTCATAATCAATGTTTCTTTCTCTCTCTTCCTTCCTCTCTCTAAAATCAAAAAGGAAAAAGAAAGAGAAACTGAGTGATGGGTACATGGGACCTCTCCTTACTATTTTTGCAATTTCTTACAGTTATTTCAAAAGAAGAGAATTTTTAAATCATCTAGAAAAAATGTATAGTAAACTTTATTGCTGCTTTGTCAATTGATTAATCTTTTCTACTGCTGTAAAACATTCAAAAACTTTACCATTTTAACCATTTAAAAATGTACAATTTGTGGTAAACACACAATACAATATACAGATGATGTATTACAGAATTGTACACCTGCAACCTATATAATTTTATTAACCAATGTTAACCCAATAAATTCAAATTCAATTTTTTAAAAAAGAAAAGAAAAATGAGAAAAGTTAAAAAAGAAAAGAAAAGAAAAGAAAAGAAAAGAAAAGAAAAGAAAAGAAAAGAAAAGAAAAAGGCAGCCTGGACAGTGTAGCTCAGTTGGTTGAGCATCATCCCCTGCACCAGGAGGTCACCTGTTTGAATCTCCAGTTTGCTATTCCCAGTAGGGGGCAGGCAGTTGGCAGCCCATCAATGTTTCTATCTCTCTTTCTCTCCCTTCCTCTCTCTGAAATCAATAAAAACATTTAAAAATAAAAGAAAAACAAACCTCTATCGGGATATTTTCTCCCATTCCTCTCCCTGGTCGCCAGCCTGTACAGGCCCATTGAATCCATCAGTGGAGTCCGTGGAATGCTCTCTAAGACCCTTCATTACTACTTGTAAAAGTGTTTGGAACCTTCTGTGATGCCCACGGAATTCAGACAGGAAAGAATCATTGTAGAGTGTTGGAGGTTCTGGAACTTTCTATTCACCTTCAAAGATGAAAACAGTAACCACTAAAGACTCCAAGAGATAGGAATAATAGACCATTTCGAGCATCCTGGAGGAGACTCAGCTCTCAGTTTTTAGACAGGACCATGCATGTGGGAAGGAAACTGGACAGGGAGTTAGGAGGTGTAGGTGTTGTCCCCACTCAGCAACAATGACATTGGTAGGTCAGCTTGATCTTACCTTAGTCTTGGTTCCATCTTTTCTAAAATAAGAGGGAGTAGCCCTGGCCGTTTTTGCTCAGTGGTTAGAACATTGGCCTGTGGACCAAAGAGTCCCAGGTTCAATTCCCACGAGGGGCATGTACCTCGGTTGCAGTTTGTCCCTGGCCCCAGTTGGGGTTGTGTGGGTGGCAGCCAGTCGATGTGTCTCTCTCACATCGATGTTTCTCTCTCTCTCTTCCTCCCTCTCTCCCTCCTGCTCTATGTGAAGATAAATGCAAAAATGTCCTCGGGTGAGGATAAGAAATAAATAAATAAAAATAATAAAATAAGAGGGAGTAAACTAAAGAATTCCTCAACTCTTCAGTTCTATTCTCTAAGACTGATGCTAATTCAAGTAAGTGATGGTAATTGTAAAAAAATAAAGTAAGTGCCCTGGCCAGTTTGGCTCAGCGGTTAGAGCGTCGGCCTGCGGTCCGGAGAGACCCGGGTTCGGTTCCCGCTAAGGGCACATACTTCGGTTGCAGTTTGTCCCCGGCCCTGGTTGGTCGTGCGGGTGGCAGCCACTCGATGTGTCCCTTCACGTCGATGTTTCTCACTCTCTCTCCCTTCCTCTCTCTCCCTCCCACTCTATCTGTACAAAAATAAATAAATAAATAAATAAATAAAGTAAGTAAGTAAAGGGCTGTGATTTTTTGAAAGTGTGCAATTCAATGATAATACATTCACAGTGTTATGCAACCATCACCACTGTCTAGTTTCAGAACGTATTCATCACCCTAAAAGGAAACCCCATACACATTAAGCAGTCATTCCCCATTTTTCTCTTCTCTTGCCCCTGGAAAAGTGATCTTTTAAAAAGTTAAATCATCTCGAAATGTTAGCTTTGCTTTTCAACAACTTTATGAAGGCACAATTTACTTACCATATAATTGACGCATTTTAAGCGTATGACTCGATGACTTTTAGTATATTTATTCAGTTGTGCAAGCATCACCACAACCCGGTTTTAGGACTTCTCCATCAGAGATCCCTCATTCACCTTTGCCATCAATCCCACTCCTCATTTTAGACAACCACTAACCTATTTTCTCTATAGATTTGTCTTGTTTGGTCATTTCATATAAATGGAATCATACAATATGTGTGATTATGATGTCTCAGTAATGTTTTGTTTTTATGTTTTTGTCTTCTCAGCCAGGACACAAATTGAGACAAGTGAATAGTTTTATTTTCTAGCCCACCCTTTTCCTAAGAGTCTAGCTCTGTCAAGGTCCCATCTTTTTATTGAGGCCTCAAGGTATCATCTCTTCTCCCTAAATAGGCATTGATATCCAATACCCAAAGAAGAACCCCCCCCTTCATCTATTTTGACAGTGCTAATAGGACAAGTACAATATGGTCATGGGGGATTCAGGCTACACTGATTAAAAAATACTTTGTAAAACCATTTTCTTCCCAGCTATTGGAGTCCAATAAAAAATAAAAAAATAAAAACACTTCCTGCCCTGGCCGGTTTGGCTCAGCGGTTAGAGCGTTAGCCTACGGTCTGGAGAGACCCGGGTTCGGTTCCCGCTAAGGGCAAGTACTTCGGTTGCAGTTTGTCCCCGGCCCTGGTCGGTCGTGTGGGTGGCAGCCACTCGATGTGTCCCTTTCACGTCGATGTTTCTCTCTCTCTCTCTCTCCCTCCCACTCTATCTGTACAAAAAAAAAAAACACTTCCTCCCAAAGCTTTTCAAAAAACTTTTTTTTTTCTTTTAGAGAGAAAAAGGGAGAGGGAGAGACATAGAAACATCGATGAGAGAAAACATTGATT